CTTTAAGAGAAAAGTAGAAAACATAAAGGTGTCAGCTTTCATATCAATAGAGGACAGAGTAGCAGGAAACCAGAATGTCCTCCATGATGGCCCCGCTAGCTGCTCCAGAGTCGGGATCTTACAGCGGTGATGATGCGGACCAGAGCTGGGGCAGAGCTGCAATCTGCTCGTAACATGCTCAGCTCTGCCTCAGCTCTGGACCATGGTGTCACTGCTGCAAGATCCCAGCCCTGGCCCTGGAGCAGCTCCCCGCCCAGCCGCATGCCCTGCCAATGCTGCTGGGGTTGATCTCCATGGGAACCCTGTCCCTGCACTGTCAGGGCACTACCACTACTTGCATGTCAGTGGAAACTGGCTGCAAAAATGTGGGCAGGGGCTGCTGGGAAATGGAGTCTGCCACAGGCCTGATCCAGCTGGTGAGCCAGACTTTGCCCACCCAGACCTAGAAGATGGATAGTCTGCTGAAGAGAGACATTCTTTGACAGAAATAACTTGGACTTTTTGCAATATACATAAAGTACTTGGCAGTTGGTTGAAACCTGAAACCTTCCTGAAGCCCAAACTGGAGTTTCTGTGCAAAAAATAAACTTTTGTCCTCATTTCCAAAAGTAGTTATTACACTCTGGCTTCTATTGGCTTTGGGAGTATCTAACTAAATGGAGATACCGGGGTCGTTTGACCCCAGCATTCTTTCCTGCCCATGGCAGGGGTCGGACTTGATATGCTCAGGTCTCTTCCGACCCTACCAACTATGAAACTATCAAACTATGAAACTATAAATATTTAAACTTCTAAGGAAGCTGGTGGGTTTTGCTTTCTTTTCAGTTGGATTTTATGCATGCAAGAAAAGTTAAATCTATTAAAAATACTAGCTGCTAGTGTCAAATCTTGTTGTATGAACATTTTAAAGAATTGCTTGCATGTTTGATTGTTAATTACTACTCTCTTCTTCATACTTGAATAATTACTGAGCACGTGCAATTTAATTTTGTTAGTTTTTTATTGGGGAGTTTGGAAGTCAATAAGAGAATGCCAAAAAGTACTACTGCCCATTCTAAAAATAGGGTGTCTTTTTGTGGAGAAATGCAAAGTCAAACATTCAAATTTAATGGCTCAGAATTTCTTCATGGGAAACCTTTGTGGGTGAAGCAGCTCTCAAGTTTTGCCTCTAAGCAAGCATCCCCAAAAACTTTTTAAAAGATTAATAAAAGGGTCAGGCTTTCCAAAAAACCTGGGTATTTCACATATCGACGTTTAAGTCAAGTAGCCAGATATTTTAAATTATTCAGAGTGGTAGTCATTGTTTTGGGACCACTTAAGTACATGAATTTTTGCATATCAGACAATGTATCCATGGAAATAATCTTTGTCTTTGCTGACTAAAGAAGTAAACAACACTCCAAACTGTCAAGTTTTCACAAATCTCCCTTGAGAGAGAGAAACCTTGGCAAGTCTTTCTTGAAACTCTACAGCCTTTTTATTCTATTTCTCCTTCATTTTAAAAAGTGTGATTCTGGTGAAAAGCATAGTGAAAATATTTTGTTATATATTTTACTCTAATAATTTCAAAATCTTTTGGCATTCTACTTTTCTTGTAATATTTTTCAGTGTTAAATACTAGACCTAATTATATATGGGCACCTATGCACATGCCGGATGTTTGCCCTGACTCATGTTAATTAATACACATCAGAGCAGACTCAACTAATCAAATCTGCTGGAACATGCTAATTAGTATGCTCCAGTAGCCTCTGCATCATGTGTATTCAGCATCCCCATGCTTCAAATTGTGGTGGGGGTGCTTTACTAAAGCTTGTTCAACACTGTTAGGTGTGCACACAACTACTGGTAATAGATTCTAAATAGGAATTCATGGTGTCAAAAACATTCTGGAACCTATTGTTTTCTTTTGAGTTTTTTGCAACACAGGAATTGCTTTATTGTTTTTCTGTAATCAAAAAATGAAGGAACTGTAAGAGCTAGCATTTTATGAGAGGTGCCTTGAGTCTAACCAGAGGTGTCTTGAATCTAAAAAAATTGAAAAACACAGCTGTAGGATATGTTTGAATCAAGGTTTCTCTGAATCCATGAGAGGTAGAGAGATCTTCATCAAATTCAATAACTTCAGGAGCTAGCAATTTAAACATTCCCTCCCCTACACCAAATAATAAGAGTTTCCAGTTAAGAATTTAATTAATATAATTAAGAAGAGTTGCCAAAGATGGGTTTATAAATATGTATAAACTATGAAGATGATTCATAGATTTCATAGACATCAGGGCTGGAAGGGACCTCGGAAGATCATCGAGTCCAGCCCCCCGCCCAAAGGGCAGGAAGTCAGCTGGGGTCATAGGATCCCAGCAAGATAAGCATCCAGTTTCATCTTGAAGGTGTTCAATGAAGGCGCTTGAACCACCTCCGGTGGCAGGCTGTTCCAGACCTTGGGGGCTCGGACAGTAAAGAAGTTCTTCCTTATGTCCAGCCTGAAACGATCTTGAAGTAGTTTGTGACCATTCGACCTCGTCATCCCTTGGGGCGCTCTGGTGAACAAACGTTCCCCCAGATGCTGGTGGTCACCCCTGATAAACTTGTAGGTGGCCATCAGATCACCCCTAAGCCTGCGCTTTTTCAGGCTAAAGAGCCCCAGGGCTCTCAGCCTGTCATCGTAGGGTCTGCTTCCCTGACCTCTGATCATGCACGTGGCTCTTCTCTGGACTCTCTCAAGCTTCTCCACATCCTTTTTGAATTGTGGAGCCCAAAACTGGACACAGTACTCCAGCTGCGGCCTCACTAAGGCCGAGTACAGGGGGAGAATGACGTCCCGGGATTTGCTTGAGAAGCATCTATGGATGCAAGCCAGCATTTTGGTCGCTTTACTAGCCGCCGCATCGCATTGCAGGCTCATGTTCATCTTGTGGTCAATGATGACCCCCAAGTCTCTTTCTTCCATAGTGCTAGCCAACATAGCTGGGCTATGATGCTCGCCAGCTCCTTGAGTACCCTGGGGTGAAGATTGTCAGGGCC